TAGCAACAGAACAGTTTGCCGATTTGTGGAAATGGAACATCTAAAATTCATTAGATTTCACTATTTCAATTCACTAAATTTCACTAAATTTCACTAACTTTCATTAAATTTCATTAAATTTCACTAAATTTCGCAAGCCCAATTTAGTGGAAATTAGTGAACTTTAGTGAAATTTGATGAAATTTATTGAAATTTATTGAATCTCTTTCTAAAATTTCATTGAATGTCATATTGCCACATTTCACTAAATTTAATTAATTTTGTAAGTTGGACTGTAGTAAGCAGCTGAACTGCTTGCAGGGTCTCAGAGCCATTCAATGTCGACACATCCTGGAGCAGTGGATGCACAAGTCAAATGCTGCAAAACACAACAAGAAAGCCTCCATCCAATCTCGACCGGAGAATCTGTTGACAGTCGGAAAATAGAAAATCTCGACCAATATCGACCGAAAAATGCTGGCGAAATTTAGTTAAATTTAGTGAAATTTAGTGAAATTTAATGAAACGTAATGCAGGTTAGTGATTTTTGCTCTTTCCTTTTGAAAAGACTGCAATCTTGAGCAAACAATTAGTGAACAAAATAGTGAATGGAATTAGTGAAAATTAGTGAATTGGCACTTATGGAAATTGCGGGCGCTGCGTTGGGCAGACTTGGTTCCAATCGAGTCGAGGGCTTCCCTTTGGCATATTTCCATTGTTTCGCTTTGCTTTGCTAAGCCTAAGGGCCTAAGCTTTAGCACAACTCACCTGGACCTAGTCACCTTGCCATGTAGGCGTATGTCCATTCACTATTCCCATTCACTATTCCCATTCACTATTTCCATTCGCAATTGTTTTAATTCACTATTCCCATTCACTATTTCATTTGCTAATATTCACTAAATATTTATTTTGATGTTTCCAATCTCTACCTCCCGGCGGCAATCTTAAAGTTAGTTGGGGTCCACACCATACTGGGCATGTCAGCTGCCGCTGCATGCGTTCGTACCTGCTCGGCTGGATGGGAGGGCCCGGTCGAGAGGTGGCGGGGGGTGGCGTTTGGCGCGGGTTTCCCCGGGCTGCAGGCCGCTTGCACGGGGGAAAAAGCTGGCTTTCGTGCGCTTCCTTCTCAGGTATTCCTGCTGCTCTTGGATCACATAAGCTCGAGATGCTTTTGCCGAAGAGCTCTCCTAACACCCAAGCCACCGCAAATACAGCTTGGCAGAGCATTTGAACTCGCCCGCCCAAGCCAACCACTCACGAAGGAGGATGGTTTCTGAAACATAGTTTGCAAGCAAAAGCAGTTTCCTGATGCGAAGATAGTGTTTGAACAATAGTGTCTAAAACATGAGAAAGCAGTTCCCGCCGCTGCAGGATGGCTTTTGCTCCATCTACGTCAGGCTCGTGCTTTGGTGGGCGCACGCTTGGGACCACAAAGAAATCATGTCGGGCCAAAGTCCGCCACCGAGGTTGTAGCCTGAAACATCCACGATGCCCTTTTCTTTTGGGGCTCAATCCTCCGGCGCGTCCATGGTTGCTAGATTGCGCAAGCGCACGCTCAGCGCGAGGTGTCCGGAGGGCGCTGTGCTGGTGGTGACTCTGGTGGTTGGCACTGTTAAGAAGGCTGGCGAATGGTTGCGGTCAGACGATTGATTAATTTCTAGCCATGTCATGCCAGCACCCGCGTCATGTTCCATTGATGGTCCCTTCAAAAGCATTCGTATCTTCCCAAGAGAATGAGCCAGTCTTGCAAGAGACAACAGCGCGTGACATCGGTTGACCCTGTCTGACGCTTTGCTGATTTGGCCGCCCAGCCAGGGTCCCATCAAGACAACCTTCGACACAGCCTCTGGCAAGGGTTTGCCAGACTTCTGCCTCGTGAAGGACACTGCCGGACGGGCTTGGCAGTTGAGGATAGTGGCACTCAATTTGTTCGCTTGGACAGTGGCACTCAATTTGTGCGGGTTGGAACTGTCCATGATTGAACGCGCGTTGAGCGAAAGAATCCAACACCCGCCGTTTGCGTCATTCTTTCATCGTGTATGAAATCTGAACACGGCGCATACTTCATGACGACATGTGCATCCGAAATGCTACTGCTTCTCAAAAGGAGGATCTGTGCGTGCCGCCGCGCGACAACTTCGTGGGTCCGTGGTTTGTTTTGCTTGTATCCTGCAAGGTCTCCTGTGCCCAAAGCAGACGATCAGAGACTGTCACGATTGGGTACAGGACCAGATAAACTGGGATGAGGACACTCTGGATGCCCTCCCGGCTTTCTTTTGGTTTGAAGCCAGCAGAGTTTGCTTGCCACACTGATTATAGGAGAGGGTTTTGGTCAACGAATGCCTAGGGCGGGATAATGTAAGCAATGGACACTTTCACCAATCATTGCTTGATGTTTGCCCTCAGCTGTTTTATTCAAGCACAGGTAGCAGGCAAGGCTATACCCAACAATGTGACAGCGCGGTCCTTCCCATCTGATTGCTTTCCCACAATTTGCGTTCAAATGCAGGACAATAGGACAATAAGTGACATGCGTTTGCAGGCCAAAACAAGATGAGCCATGCCAACCCACGGCCATTGCAGGATTTTCTATGACCTATAGTTGAATTTGGGGTGGACCCTCCCCGCGCCGAAATGTTGTTTTGTCTGGCCAGGTGGGCATTGAGCTGCAAAGCCAGCCAAACACCTCCAAGTGGTGCTGACTTGGTTGCTCTTAATATCGTGGACTGCAAATCGACGAATGCGTCATTTTTTCAAGGGTAGAGGCCATCAGGAAATGCAAGCCTGAGTCCACCAGCAGAGTCGAACTGCCACAAAAGTCGCCACGGCCAACGGCAGGCCACCGGGAGTAGCAACCTCCGGAGCAATCTTGGGCAATCTTGGATCACTGTGTGTGTGTGCGCGTGAACCACATGATACCGCCTGCTGATGATGCCCCTACGGGTGCACCCAGCTTATGTTTGTACTCAAGTCTTGTACGTTCTAGGTTCCATGTGGCATGGTTTTTAGCGGACAATTTTGCTCAAATGTCGCCAAGAGAAATTACAGCTCACTTTTTGCCTCATGGGCCAAGCAATTGAGCACGGCCCGTATGGCAGGGTCCTGAGGATCCAGAGTTAAGCGCGGCACTCAGAGGCATTAGAACGGCCCAGACTTGCCGGGTCTCGTTGGGGAGGCGCCTGCCCCAAGCTCATGTGTACAATTCGGATCCAGTCGCATCGCTTTAGTTTGATGCTGTCCAGAAATGGGAGAAGGAATATCCATCAATTTGCACACTTTGACCAAGACATGACCCCGGCCCTGCTTGTTTGGACCAAGATATGACCCCGGCCCTGCTTGCTAAGACCAAGATACGACCCCGGCCCTGCTTGTTTGCAGTCCGATTCCTGTCATGGAAGAAGTGCCTGCCCGGATGCTTTGCCCTCAGTCAGTTTCGGTACATCAATGCGGTGCTGCCGGGGAAACTTGAACGTGGTCTTTGTTTTGGGGGATTCGTTGTTTCAGTCGAACAAGTCCTGACTTGTCTACACACAGCCAGGTCGGGAGGCATACAGACCACCAGGCCCTACACGAAGCATGTTCAAGCAAGCGTTGGACTTCGAGTGCCAACTACGCAATCAACGCCAGTAAGGCGTGGGCTATGCTGGATGTTTGTGTCACCAACCTATCCTCCAAAAGACTTCATCAGAACTCGGATGTCACGCCTTGGAAGGCCACAAACAGCAAGATTTTCTGCACTGCCATTGTTAAGTGAACATGGCTCACCCAACAGCCTTTGGCACTCAGAAGAACTCCAAAGACCTCACAGGTAAAAGGGCATGCTCACTGCCATCTACTCGATAGGCGACAGTGAATTATGTTCCTGTCTTTTGCAATCCGTTGAGGCACGTGACTCGCTGCCTCGGGGTGTACAGCACAAACTCGGTGCGTAAGTCTGAGCCAAAGATGGGCCCGCGCATGTTGGCAAGTTGCGCAACGAAAGCTGCTTGACTGGGGCTTGAAGACAATTGCCGGGACTGGGACAGCAATATGCCTCTGTCCTCAAGTTTCCAGCCAATATTTTGTCTTAACGCCCGGGCAAATCGACGGCAAAGGCTTGCAGCTGTACAAAGTCGACTGTTTCACCCAAGCCTGGGAGAATTGTCCAACATGGGCAAAGGCGAGCAGAGATGCGTGCGCTCTCTCGCGGGACTCGTTGGTGGAGCCTCCAGTTAAAGGCGAATGAAGCGCCGCAGCATGCTCAGTTGGACACGTGAAGGGTTTCATTCCCTTCCACTATGGCAACGCTCATGCCGCATGTCCAGAAGCGCACAACGAATGCTGGGGTTAGGCTCTGCCAACCCAAAAGCGAGAGGTAGGGTTTGTTGGAGCATGCCTTTACTTGCTGGCTGAGTTTCTGATGGCTTGAGTGTGACCTCAGGAGCCCAGGGAATGCACCTGTATGGCCGTTGTGTTATGCCTTTTCAGACCGCTGCCATACGATACGGTCGTGCCAAGAATGCACACTGTCCTACATGTCCTACCATAGCTTTGACTTTGCCAATGTATGAGAATTGCCGCCTTTGAATTTGGATCATCAAAACCACGGATCTCAACCAATTGCTCATGAGTTTGGTTCACTACAGGGATGTTCAGTGTCCTTGACCACAGTGAGTTTGGAAGCTACGTTTTGGACGACCCTGGTTTTGGCTGAAGGACAGCGCATGTTTCAGGGGCACCAGGACAATCACTCCCAGCAAAAACCAATGGTGTGCAAGGAAGAACATCTGAGAAGGACTGAATCATCGGTGCAAGTACTCACCTACATGAAGAATGGAAGATGCAGGCGCTGACCCATCAATGAGAGCATTCTTGAACATTGACAGCATACAGCGGCACCACGAGAAGCAAGGCAAGCCGCAGCGCTTCTTTGCACTCGAGCCCCCTCAACCACCAATCTCCAGCATGCCGGACGCAACGCAGAGACAAAGCACAGAGAGAGGAGAGAACGCGATTCCATCCGGGTCGCGTCGCGCGCCATGTGGCGGATGCTGGTGGATGGCCAGGGCAAGGACGGCCGCGAGAGGAACGAGCGGCGGAAGGAGCCGCCGCAGCCGCCAGCGCAGCCGCCCGAGGAGGCGATGCCACGGCCTGACGGCAGCCGGATCCAGGCCCACGGGTTGACTAGACATGACTAGACGCTCGATCCCAAATCCCAAGGAAGCCGAGAGATTTCCCACTAGACCACTGACCACTGCCTTCCTTTGCATTCAAGGCAGCTTGACATGACATAATTTGTGAAGGCTTGTGCCATTTGCGACGTGGGCTGACGTTTGCATGCAGAGAATCTAGTATCTCTCATGAGGCTCCGAAGTTGGGGGTTTCCCGCTTTCAATTGATGCAGTAGTACAGTCAGCACACCCAGCACGGATTGCTCACCAGCAAAACAAACTCAAACAAGTGTCCAGAGTCCAAAGGGCATCCAGCATGTGACGGCGTGCGCACGCCTTGCACGCCCTTTGGCCAGATCATGGGGGAAAACGCAATTCTTCGCTGGACGCAGCGCAGCAACGGTGGCTTGGATGCAGGTGAAAGGGGCGGCCATTAATGTAGCGGCATGCTGCCAAGCGGAAGCCTGATCGGGCCCCACGCTCTGATGCCTGTTTGAAAAACGTAGGGAAAAGACAGGTTTGTTTGGCGCGCTGCGCAATCCTTGGAATTTGTCTGCAAAGTCTTTTGTATGACTGCCCACAGGCACCGGCACAGTAATTACCATCAGCTCAAGTAACGAGAATACTATCGCAATTCCAACTATAACATTGTACCTTTAAACTTTGCGTAACTTGAATGTGAAATTTGAACGCTGCACGCGATGCACCCGCACCCCCCGGCACCTCTTCCAGTGCGTGCAAAACACAGCTTAGCCCCTTGCATGCTCACAAGCCTGTCTGTGCATCACAAGCCTTGGATGTCAGCAGTTTTTTGGAGACCTTCGAGCCCTTATCCGCACTTCCACATGCATCATGCGCAAAGAGATTGAGATTGAGATTCGGAACATGTTGAATGTGCACAGAGGTTCACGAGGAATGCGCTTGAGGCAACCCCTCTTAACCATGCTTGCTTACTAGGATTGTTTCATTTCTGGCAAATCACTTGGGCCCTTGGCTCTTGGCTCAGCATGGTTCTCTCAAGCTAAAGAGCTTGGATGTTGGACAACTCCGAAGATCAAGCGTGTCCTTGGGGCCTTTGGATCGGGCAGCTCACAGGACGGCTCAAGTTCACGCCATGCCCAGAAAGGGTCCATCGCATGCCTTTTGGAAAAAACCTAGAAGCATGTTGGCTTTGCAAGTTTGAGGGCCTTGTCAAGGTACGTGGCGAAAACCGGAGTTTTGGCCCGTGGACAAGGACCAGTTTGAGCTGTGCCCCTGCCATGTTTGGGAGATGGAGGTGTTCAGACAATGGGTTACAGGGGGTGGGCTGCAATGTGATGCATTTCAAGCCCAGCAATAAAAGACCTTAAAGAATCCGAGCAATGGTTTAATGGTTTGATGTCCTTTTCAACACAGAGAGGCACTGAAACACATGGGTTCAGGACAGCAAAGGGTCGCGGACAGACAAACTTTAGAGCCTCCGGCTCAGTCCGCCGACATTGTCCTCTCCCTTTTCTCCTTCTTCCTCTCTCCCTTGTCTCCCTTGTGTGTTCTGTCGTCCTCTCTCCCTCTCTCGTCCTCTCTCCCCAATCTCCCTCTGCTGCATGTATATGTATGTATGTATGTATGTATGTATGTATGTATGTATGTATGTAATGTATGTATGTATGTATGTATGTATGTATGTATGTATGTATGTATGTATGTATGTATGTATGTATGTATGTATGTAATGTATGTATGTATGTATGTATGTATGTATGTATGTATGTATGTATGTATGTATGTATGTATGTATGTATGTATGTATGTATGTATGTATGTATGTATGTATGTATGTATGTATGTATGTATGTATGTATGTATGTATGTATGTATGTATGTATGTATGTATGTATGTATGTATGTATGTATGTATGTATGTATGTATGTATGTATGTATGTATGTATGTATGTATGTATGTATGTATGTATGTATGTATGTATGTATGTATGTATGTATGTAATTAATGTATGTATGTAATTAATGTATGTATGTATGTATGTATGTATGTATGTATGTATGTATGTATGTATGTATGTATGTATGTATGT